ACCTTTTTGGAAACCTGATTGATGCATTGAAATTATGCAGTTTTGACAAAGGTATTCATATATTTGAAAATAAGCGGCTCATTCCAAGATTTTAGAAATAGTGGGAAGAAGGCTAACCGGACGTAGTTCACTGTACGAACATGGGTTTTGATTTTTTGGGAGAGGAATAACCATTGCTTGCCTCCATGCTTTTGGAAAATATCCTTGTTCCAAACACAAATTAACAATATGTAGTACGTATACATCAATAACATTTAAACACATTTTTAAAATTTGTAAGTTTATATAATCGCTGCCTCCAGCATTAGATTTGATATTTTGAGGTATTTTGTAAAAAGTATCAATATTGACTGGTTTAAAATGAAATTCGATAGTTTTTTTACCATTTCTATATGTTTCTATTGAATTAAAACAGTTCATATCACTTGATTGAAATACTGTTAAAAAGTATTGTTAAAGACAGAAGTAAGTTTTTAGCACCAAGGTAACAGGCCAGGGAAATAATTTGTATACTTTAAGACGGTAAATTCAAATGTGATTCTAATGAAACATTTTAATTTCCCGCCAAAATCGTAAATTTTTGGCCGTAAAATGGCAGAATTTGCAAATATATTCATTCGTATAAGCAAAAATAATGCAGAACTAAACTACATGGTCCAGACGTTATTTTATGTCGAAACAAAATCTATACTGTAATGAATATTATCAAGTAAGTATTATTTTCTACTTAAACATTTCTTAATACCAACTTTCCATTACACACGGACACAAAAATTTCTTAAAATAACCGAGATACTACACTGGAACAGTATCTGAGACACTTCGTTTATTTAGACATAAAACATTAATATCTTCATTTTAATTTTAGATCTCGTAGAAACCATGAGAACTCTCTCCAATTAAATCTAGAATCTGCATCCGATTCCGAAGATAAAGATGAAAACTTACAGAAGTTTACCTTCGACGCAACACTTTTTAAAGAATATATAACAAACGTAACCGAGGCAGTTGAACCACTCGTATGCGTCATTTGCAGAGCAGAATTTACTACACATTTAGAATTAGGACTTCATTCCTCAACTCATAATACTGAAAATCAACTCCGCTGTCATTTATGTGGCTTTGAAACAAGAAAAGAAAACTCTTTTAGAGGACACCTCACTAAACACAATCAGTTCGTTTGTAAAAAATGCAACTTACGGTTGAAAACCAAGCAATCTGCTTTCAAACACATCAAGCAGCATACATTTCCGAATTTAAAGAAATGTAGATTCTGTGGAAAAGAAATGTTGAAATACATGCTCAGTCGACACAAGGTAGAAGAGCATCAAGGCAACGCTCCTGGTTCTGTTAAATGTTCCGTTTGTTCTAAAGAATACTTAGACAAGGACAGCTTACAAAGACATTATGCTTCGCAGCACAAAGAATTTGATGTCAACATTTCAAAAATTTGCGAGGTTTGCGGAAAAGAATGCCCCAACAGTCAACTCTTGAGACGACACAGACGCACCCACTCGGGCGAAAAACGTTACGCGTGCTCTCAGTGTCCGAAAAAGTTTTGTTTCAAAATGTCTCTTAATTACCACATAAGTAAACACACTGGGATCAAACCCTTTGTTTGTAAATCTTGCAATAAATCGTACAGATATAAAAGCGGCTTGGAATACCACTTGAAGACGCATTCCGGAATTCAAGAACACGGTTGTCCTCTTTGTTCGAAATTGTTTACGTCTAAAAGCAATATGAGAGCTCATGCAAAAATTTGTAACATAGTAGAAGACAGATAAGTTTTTACGCTTTACACAAAACGAAAGACAGCCACTTTTAATAATAATTTTTTATATAATTTCTTAGCATCAAGAGTTTGTTTCTGGTTAATCCACCGTAATCAACATAATTGAATGGATTTATTTTTAATTATAATGAAAATAGGTAAAAAAAATTAAACGAGTAGGTATGTGAATATATGAATGGTTGGGATAAAGTATGAAACCAAGCAAATATCTTTAAAACGGAATAGATGATATTGATTAAACTCTGCAGGTTGGTGTGTTGTTGTATAATGCATCTAATCTTGCATTAAATTTCCATTAGTGTAGAAGGAAGCCAAGAATTGTCCGATCCATAGAAGTGGAGATAAGTCCGCGGTAGAGAACTATAGGCCATACTCTCCAATTTTCCGAAGCTCTTTGCGATGATCATATTGTTACGCTGGTTTTCGGTAAACTCAATTTATTTCAAACTCAAACTTTTGCAATACAACTATATCATTAATGTACAATGTATATTATAAAACTGAACTGTGAAGTCAGGATCATCGACTTATATAGCTCCCTTGAACCTCCTCGAACCGTCCAGATGTTTCTTGACACGGAATGGCATTTCTATACTGTTCCCTCTTCTTTTATTCGTACGTTTCCTATAACAGCCGCAGGCTATTGCAGGGTAACAATATTATATGACCATATTTGGATTATTTAAACAAAGATCAACAGTAACTAATCTCTTTACGATCAGAAAGGTGAAAGTATAATTTATTTTTGGTTTATTTATTTAAAAACACTCTATTTACAATTTATTTCAGACGTACTATTTAATTTATATAATACTTGGACACTAACTAACAATTCTAATTTATTTCTTACACTTTAACTTTTCAATACAATGTTCTATATTCAACTAAACTGGGCGCCGATACGTCGTCGGCTATTTATATTAATCTAACTCTGCTACTGGAAGATACGAGAGGCTCTCGAACATGCGGCAGGCATTCCGTCGCCTCGAGCACGAGTCGGTTTCCATCTGAAGGTCAAGCGTACACAGGGCAGGCTTTAAGAATTTCATGACAGTATTTATCAGAGGATTTGGATAAACAAGGGTAGGTTGACGGGATTTATTTAGATTTCTCAAAGGCCTTCGATAAAATAGATCACTCTATTATGTAATAGTAATCGTAAAATATATTGTATTGGTTTTATCTTTTCTTCGTTCACTGACAGAAAAAATGGGTCAAAATAAATTATATACTTAAATAAAAAAAAACTTTAATTGCCCTATTTTTAATGAAACATTTTATTTCACATAACAAAATACAATCACAAAAAAAATTACATCAATTTCTTCTTACAATTTCTTTCATTAAATATTTTAAATAAAAATCAACTAACTTTGGTTCAGCACATACCCAAAAATTGTCATCTCTCTCAACGAACATTCCTAGTGGGGTCCAAACTATAAAATAACAATATTTGGCTTTCGTTATAGCCAATTGTCCTGATAATAATAATTATCTTTTTTTTTTAATTTAATTTGGCCATCTGTATTGGCTAGATATTTATTTTGTTTTCTTGAATTCCCATTTCTGATGTCAATTTGGAAGAAGAATATGGACATTTAATTAGAATTATTTCATCATTATTAATAATGCCGTCTGCACTTGCTCCCACGTATGAATGTTTTTCATAAATAATTAATTCACATTCTTGTACCGTTTTTCCATATTTATTTTTAAATTATTCTATCGCAACGGATTCATGATCTTGTCCCCATTTTGTAACGTCTGATCCGTAAAAAGATAAAAATAATATGTTATTAACAGTCTTTTTTGCGTAATTTTCAAAATTTGAAGCCGTGAGCATATTCCTACGATGTTCTTTCCACAGATCATTACTGGTCTAACCTCTGATAGATACTTCAATTTTACAAATATCATCTATTGATTTTGGTAAACTATCCAGAAATTGCAGTTTTTTTGTTCCAAAACATCGTCATCATCATCGCATTGAAGTCCGTAATCCCTATCTTTGGGTGCGCCACTTTTGTGTTTTTTTAATTGAGGGCCCTGGCTTCTCTACTACATCTACGTTTGTTCATTTGAGTAACCAATGTTTGTGTGTGAATCACAGGAACACTTTTCAACAGCTTTTTATAAAGAGTAGGAATATAGTTTTCTTTTTTATTAAAAAAAAATGGCTGCAGCTGTACACCAAACATTATATCTTCCTTTTACTGCAAAATTAATTCTCTTTTCTCCAACAAATTTGGCTACGATTAAATTATATATCTCTGCAGCATTATTAGTTATGTTTAATAATAAACTGTGGCTGTTTTGAACCAGCCCATTACCAGCAGATACAATGTCATCCATTAGTCCGCATTCTTCCATTTCTGTCACATAATCTCTGTCGTTTTGTTCTCTTTTACAAAAATATTGTGCACATTTTGAATGATTTCCAAATGTGTGGTAAGGAGAGTTTATAATGTCTGCAGTTAATTGCTTCACGTTGTTAACAATATCACTGGTATTTTTTCAGTGGTAATTTACAGCCGATTTAATTCCCACTCGTAATTTCAAAATATTATCTCACAAAATTTTTTTTAGTCCTGGACTTACTATTTTGTTTTTGAACTGTATTTTTTTTGCAAGATCACGCGAATTTGTGTAATATTTCCTTGTGAGAAAATGGTTCATGCACTCTACTTTGCGGACCATTGTTCATTCGTAGGGTCTTTCTAAGCAAATTTTTGGTAAACACTGCTGTCTCCATCGCCAATAATTTTTACATATTTTAATTTGTGCATTTTTATACTATTACGGAATCCTTCTAAAATTAGTTCCAATTCCATAGAAGTCGACGAACCATCCCAATTTTTTGAACATTTATGAGTTGCAGCTTTTATATTTTTAGTTAAAAGTCGAGCACAGATAGGACAATACTTACTTTTAAAAGAAACATACAAAACTTTTGCAGTTTTCGCCCCAATAATGCAAGCCTGTAAAAAATAAGTACATTTAAAAATAAACCCTTTATATGTTATGTCAAATATAAAAATGTTTCTAAAGTAGACCATAGAAAAATCACACATGACGGATTCTTCACAATTCTGTCGGTCATGGCTTACTTTAGAAACATTGTTTTCGGATCACACGTTACTATACTTAATATATACTTACAACTACAGATAAAGCGTTATAATTAACTTTATATGACCGCTTAGACCATGCACCGTCAACAATAACTGCAATTAGACCATTTCCTTGTTCATCTACTTCTCCAATATCTTTTGCTAATTGCAATTCTTCCAGTCCTTCTTGTTTCGTGGCCTCCCAAGCTGCTTCAAAAATACTTTTACTTACCAACTCATTATGAGCTGAGTATTGTCGAAAAGACATTTTAGGGTGTTAGTACGTTAGGATTTGAAATTAGCAAAATAATAAAGGTCACTTTTATAATATTTCCAATAAATTAAAAATTAATATAATCTGTTCTTAGGAATATTTTGAAAATTGTCCATTGTTTTCGACTCGAGATATTTCTCAAAATATTTGGAATTAATCAATAAAAATCATATTTGAATATCAATCAAATTATATATTTTTTTTCTTTAGTAAAACGTATAATAAAAATAGTCTAACCTTTTGCTAGTTACTGCACGACTTTTCTTTCATACTTAGTTACATAACACGTAAAAAAAAGTTAAACCCTGGCCGAATCACTTTATATTTGCTAATACAGGCTACCGTTGGTTACAGGTATATGATAAAGATGAAAATATTTTCACAAAAAAAATATTATTGGAAAACAGTTTACTACAAAACTCATATTTTGAATATGTAAATGTAAATAGAAAAAAAATCAGCTTCAAACTCCAGTTTTCCAAAAATATATTTTTTTTTATGTTCAGCGATAATTCTTTAACACGTTTTGTCGGATTTTTATGATTCTTTTTTTGTTTGAAAGGGGGTACCTCCGAGATGGTCCCATTTGGTCAAGATCTGATGAGGGCATCCATAAGAAACTCATCAAATTTTTTATTTTTTATGAATTTTCAGCAATAATTCTTTACCACGTTATCCGATTTCTATTATTCTTTTTTTGTTAGAAAGGGGTACCTCAAAAGTGGTCCCACATGGACTCCATCTCACCGAGATATATCTTCCGTAAGCCATATAAAGTTATAATAGAACAAATAGAAGAGCCGGAAGTGGCAGGTGCGATTCATATCTACACCGACGGTTCTAAAACAAAACAAGGTCCAGATTCCTAAACCTAAACATAAAATGGGCGGTGAGCAATAGTGCCAGTGTAGTTCAAACAGAGCTAACGGGGATTATCATAGCAGCAAAAGAAAAAACCAGAAACAATATCACTGGAAGGAACATGCTCATCTATACAGATAGCAGACAAGCACTACTCACCCTGAACAGACCCCGAATTTACTCAGGGTTAGTACTAGAATGTCACGAAGCTTTGGCTGAAATACTTTTTAGACCTGGCCCTTCTATTGTCCTGACAAAATCGGTAGTGACAGATCTAATCAAAGAACTTTCCCTTGTGAAATTCAAGGAAAGATGGGATGAAAAAAGAAACTGCAGAGTTGTCAGGGAGCTCTTAAGTTATCCTGACAACATTACTGCAAACAAATACTTGACTATGACTAAACAAGAATCTGTGCCTAGTCACAGGCATTTTGACTGGTAATTGCCAAGTGCGGAAGCATCTTCATATCATGGGTCTGTCAGAATCTGCACTCTGTAGAGGGTGCGAACAGGAAGATGAGACCATCGAGTCCTCTACGATTGATCGACGCTCTCATTTATTAGAAGATTTTTAGGCTGGCTCACGAGATAGGAGGTCCCTATTATCTTAGGAGGATGCAAAATAGGCCTAGTGAGACCTAAGTGCCGACGCGGTAACCCACCCTCCACACGTTACAGATACAGATCTACTTATCACTGACAATATTCCACAGCCATATCCTACTTTAACAATATATTTTGTGTATCACTCCAAGATAAGATTTCAGACGTCTTACGAAAAAATAAACTAAATGTATTGATGTTTTATTGAAAGACATCAAAAATACCTTAAATATGAGTGCCTAAAAAAAAAGATGTATAGAGAGTATCTATTTACTAAATGAAACTATAACTTGAATTTTAAACTGAAAACTGTTCTAATAAAAGTGTTCAAAAACTACCACAGTTATTATTTATTTACTAAAAATGAAGAACAAAAATATAATTCTGGAATTTTTTTTTATAAACAAACTATTTGTTTTTCTGATTTTGACTAAAGTCCGACCGAAGCTTCGGTTTCGGCCACCTTCGGCCAAAAATAGCACATTCGGCCGCACATTCGGCTTCGGCCAAAATCAGCCGAAGGTTATATTTAATATTTGATAAATATATATAAATTGTCAACAATATATAAAACACAATTTACATTGGTATATAATACTTTTTAGTTTAGTCAAGTAATGTTCTGAAAATTTTAAGTCTTAATAATAAGCCTTCGGCTTCGGCTACAGCCGAAGGTTCCGACAAGAGCCGAACAATCGGCGTCGGCTTCGTCTTCGGCCAAAAACTGACCTTCGGTCGGACACTAATTTTGACTAATAAAGTGATATTTTTTTGTAAACGCAGCAAGGGTCAAAATGATCTACTTTACGCAACCAGTTGCATAATGTTGAACATTATGAAACTGGTTACGAAAAATTCATTATGTCAACAGTTGCGAAAAGAAAAGAAATAAAAATAAACCGTTTTTGGTTTAAAAATCAATAATACAGGATGACCCAATTAAAAGAGTCCACCTGAAATATTAAATTTAATTAAACTTACAACCTAGTAATAATGTTGTTTTCGTCCTTATTTTCAATTTTAAATCAGTACAAAATATGTATTTAAAACACGATACATGACAAACAACCCACTTTCTTGAAAACTAAATAACTTTAACAAGCAAGATAAACGCACTTTAACAATTCGTTGATAATAAATTAATATGATTTTCTAATTGTCTAAATAAATAAAGGTATGCATATGCAGCTAACAATACAAGAAACTAATATTGGATGTCAGTAATTTTTACCAAAACACAATTTTATAAATAATCTCGTCAAAATTAGAAAAAATATTGTATGTAACACGTTACGAAATTCCGTTTTATATAACTCGTTCATGTTGCTCGTTACATAAAGTAAGGCATTTCGTAAATCGTTGCATAAATAGCTATTCTGAGAGTAGTTTCAACGTCATTTACAGGAGCCCCTTCCATCTTAGTTTCACATCCCGGTAATAGGATTTGTTTTAGGATCTAAATTATTTACACAGACTTTTTCAAATCTTTCGATCATATTAATCATAAAATGTAATCCAAGACAAATGTTTCTAAAGCAGGTCTTGGAGAAATCACAAATGTCGGAACGTACAATTTTAAAATTTAATATTAAATAAATATATAAAAATGGTGTATAACATTATTTTTTTTAGTATTTTGTACTTTGTTTGATTATGTATAAAGTAGTAATAAAACAATAAATTGAATTGTACGTAAGTTTGTAGCTAGTTACTTTTTCGTTTCTCACATTACAGTAGTTTTAATTTTAGATCAAAAAAACAAAGAAGCAGACGGAAAAAAATAAAACCAGAAGTGAATCAAGGAGCCTCAGTAAAACACGATCCCGATTTTGAATTCAATAAAAAACTATCAACGCCCAAAAAAAAAGAAAGGAGAATAAAACTAGAAGGGGTCCAAGGAGCGGTAATAAAAAGTGATCCCGATTTTGAATTCGACGAAAAACCATCATGGCCCAAAAAAAGAGAAACAAGATCAGAACAGGAACTGAAATTAGAAAAATTCATTAACCTAAACGAAGTCACTAAACCTCTAATTTGCAAGTTTTGTTCCAAACCTTTCTTAACCCATTTGGACTTCGGTTTCCATTCCAAAGTCCACAATGCAGACGGGTTCTTCTCATGTCACATGTGCGACTATAGAAAAGACATTAAAAAAACGTTTAAAGTTCATATAAAAAGCCACGATCTCTATAAATGCGAAAAATGCAATAGGATACTTAAAAGTCGGTTATGCGCCTACAAACATTCAAAATCGCATTCGGTTCAAACCAACGTACAGTGCGAGATATGCGGTAAACATCTCAAAAAACAATGTCTTTCCATTCACAAAAAGATCCTGCACAGCGATGATAGAGCTAGTCAAATCACGAAATGCCCGATTTGTGATAAAGAGTACCAAAATCCCAGTAGTTTAAGACAGCACTATTCGGCTATCCACAAAGAGCTCGGCATCGACGTGTCAGTGGTTTGTGACATATGCGGAATGCGGCTATCCTGCAAAGGTAAATTACCCCAACACCTTAGAACCCACACCGGCGACAAACCCTTCGCCTGCAATATCTGTCCCAAGAAATTCATCGCTAAAGACATTTTGGCCGCCCACATGAGGGTCCACACGGGAGAGAAACCGTACGAATGTAAATTTTGCGCGAAAAAATTCGCGCACAGCGCCCCCTATCGGTATCACATCAAAACGCATACCGGCGAAAAGAGACACATGTGCCCTCTGTGTAATAAAGGTTTCATTTCGAAAGCGAACATGAAAATTCATTTGAAAAGCTGCAATATAGCAGCAAGATGATTCGAAGACCGGAACTGTTGTAAGCAGGGTATCACGAATTTATGGTTTTGAAGATTTTATCTTTATGCTCCGTTCCTGTGTCACAATTTGGGGTTTTATTAATAATAATGGGACTAGCTTTTAGACTAGCCGGTAATGACATATTTTTGCAACGTTTTTTGTTTAATGTATGCATTTTTTAAGTTATGATTAGTGTAGGTTTTTAACATGTCCTAGTCAATTATCTAAAAGTGCTCGCATGCAGCGGCTTCACAAAGGAAATTTGAATTTGTATTGAAAATGGATGATTTTGAGCGATTAGTAAATGCATGAAAATTGATTTTTTGTTAAAATTTGTAAAAATTATCTGCGAAAAATAATCTGCATACTCCTCCTTCGTGTAGGAAGCCCCGAAATTGTTAATTGAATATGAAGAAAAGAGATAATATTGAATAAAAAATATTGAACGTATGCTTTTTCATAGCCTTATTTTTGTTGTTAAATGGAAAACGAAAAGCTACTTTGCATAGACTCGCGGCGTGCACATGCGTTGCGATAACTTTTTAGTATCAAGGATATATGAATTTTGTACCTATAAAAAACAATACAAGCTGAACCTCTTCTGGAGTGACACTTCTGTGATTATTTCGTAGGTTATTCAAATTATTTTTATATAAACAGATTTGTAATCTTACACGTAAAAAATCTAATAAATCTAATATTATAATACTCAATTATAAATTATATTAAA